AAGGGAAGCGGAAGAGAGGGCTCAGATGAGGGAGGTGGAGGGGAGGAAAAAGTGGGATAAAGTGAAGAACTGCAAGGGATTAAAAACGTACTCAATTAACTCGCTTTTTAAGTTTTGTCACTGAATTACATAAAAGCAGGTGCGTACGCGGAAAAATGAAAACAGGTCTGTTTTGCAATTAGAAAATTTTTGTTTTCAAATTTTTTTGACAGTTTGTGAAGTGAGGCAAATGGTAATTTTTGAACTGGAAAAATGCACTTTTTATTTCCTGTTGCGAAAAACCCCAAACAATTCTTTGGATGATCTCAATTTTTCAATGGTGCCGCCTCTCATGTCGTAAAAAATTATGGGTGCGTCACTGCAATTTACCTGCACGTACCAGTTCGTATTCGTTGTAACGAACAACGAAACCATTTGTTCTAATACGATGATTCGCAGTTTTTTTAGAGGGATCAGTTTTCCTACATATTTCTTGATGATCATTTCTCGGGGGGAAATAATGATTCTTGGCAATAATGTTAATATAAAAGATGACAATTAATCAGCACAATGATGATAACGATATCAACAGTAATAAAAATAACATGGTAGACGAAAGTCAATTTATAAGCAGTTTTAGAACATTTGTAGAAAAAAAATTAGCACAGAGTTATGAAATTGAGATTTTTTGGTAAAATCATTTTGGCAACCAGTCCTCCTACAGTTCGTTTACTCATTTCAACGGTAAATTGATACTGATGATTGTCATGTAGTCAGATCTGGAATACTAGTTCTCCTCGGAAGAAGCTGTTTTTTTTTTGAAATGTTTTTGCAACCTTAGTGTAACGCAAAAAAACGCACTGAACTAAGATCTCTGTACATATAGACGCATACAGAAAAGAACTTAATTTATTGCATGTGTGCTTGAAATGAGCTTATTTTTTTTGTGAGTTTTTTTTCTGTCTGCCTAAAAGTACTCCAGTTCGGGAATTACAAGAGCTAGGAAGCTGAAAATTTACGGGTATAATCCTTGAATGTGCACTGAGCTGAAAACCTGAGGCCAACATTTAACTCGATAATACTCATTGATTTTTGACCACCAGCTCAAATTTAGACATAATTTTGTGATTCGAAAAGTAAAAAAATATCAGCAATAAATTCCGGAGACGAAATAAACAAAATTTCGATTGCTCCCTACTTTCGAGGGTTGCTGAGAAGCAAGCTGATAATGGTTGACTTCCAGACAGGGCTGGTGATTATATATCGCTTATATGAACAATTTTTAAAAAAAGCAGCAGGAAGCGCATCTTCAGGATTATATGAACTTATCGATCATTTTCGACAATGCTAATAGGCGAACGACATTTTACCTCTTTATGGCTTTCGGAAAAGGATTATTGTTTGGGGATTAGCTGAAGCGAATATGGCCATTCCTCTTTATAGCAGTTTTTAAGAAAATTTTTCCCATGGGTTGCAAAGCGGTGTTAATGTAAATGTTGGCAGATTTTAGACAGATATGAATAAATAAGAAGCATAAAATATTGCTAATTTTTAAAAGAAAATTAGTTTTTTTAAGTACCATTTATGTCTTAGCTAGCAGGCTTGGCCCAGTAGGTTAACAGCACTGCTATCACAATGGTATGTTGAAAGTTCGATTCCTGCCGGCCCTAAACTTCCCATAAATTTGGATTTGAAAAATTAGAAAATGCCACTAATTTTGGAAAAAAGAAAAATGAGCTTATGATCTTTGAAGCCAGTAGCATTAACACTGTTTCTAAACGCAAGGTTCTCATCCACAATCCCACGGTGTTATTCTAGCTGAAAATGAAAGTCTAGAAATAAATCGAAATCCTTCGACAGAGTTTCCCTGGAAATTCGAAGTTGCTTCAGGAATTGGTTGGGCACTAAGCTGGTTAGCCGGAGAGCGCCTATTTATTCGTTCGTTGACAGCGGCTCAGAATCTGCTTTATGTGCTGGCATCGCTTCGAACGCGCCTGAACTGGGCCCTCGATTGTCGTCACACTTACAACGATGAGCTTTGCACGGATTTGCTCCGAAGCAATGTTTCGCACGGGGATGCGCAACATCAACCTGATAACAACTGGCCGGCACAACAGTTCAACAGGTACCACGGACTTTTTCTTTTATACCGTCTGGATAAATTGCTTTTATTATCGGATAAAAGAGTTGGATATTAAAGCGTTGAAGTAGTACTTATTTCTAGAACGGAAATTGAAAACTAAAATTTAAAGCTTTAAAATACTAGTTGAAATAGTGTTTGATTTTTTTGGAAAAATTTTGTTCGTAAAATTTACTTTTTGGACTAAAATTCTTCCAAAGAACTGAAATTTGCTTCTTTTATATTAAATTAAATATTACAGAAAAAATTTTTCAGTTTAGAAATAAAAATGTCAATAATAATAACAATGTTAATAATAATTATGGTAGTAACAATGATAAAAATGATGACAGCAGTAGTAACAAAATATCAGCAATAATAATAGTATGGATTTTATCAATAATCGTAATAATAATGACCACACCTGTTGCTATATTCATGAGCATTAAAAGACACCAAAATGTCTTCTTATAC